GGTACAATGTGAGTAAATTTCGTACCTAATACTAGTGTCAGAACAAAGATTGGTTATGAAATGAAAAGAATACCTATAAATTGTAATTATCAGAACATAAAATTACATAAAATATGAAAAATGGAAAAAAAGATATATCGGCAACACTTCTGCAAGTGGCAGCACTCCATGTTGCCGCCAGGTGATCGCCAAGTGCCAACTTTGCGGCCTCATATCTCGGTAAGTACTGACTCTAAATTTTTTTTTTATCCTATAACACTTAAAAAATGTGCTCTTTTTTTCAATAATAAAAAAGATTTTTTATTTTTCAAAATATTCAGGGCACTGGGGTAGTGAGCGTATATATACGTTTGGACCATATACTGGTTAAACCTGCATCTGTCCTTCAGTGCAACAAGTGTTAAAGGCTCTTTTTCTTCCCAAATATCAAGGTAATACAGGAATGAGACATTATTATACACACTTAAATTTTAGGTGTAAGTTTTATATTAATGAAATTCATAAACTGCTACATAATCTAGATTAATAAAAGCAATAAAAAGGTATGAAATTATTTTTTTTTAAACAAGTCAGCTGTCTCCCACTGAAGCAGGGTGACCCAAAAAAGAAAGAAAATCCCCAAAAAGAAAATACTTTCATCATCATTCCATCATCCCATGTCCTTTCGCACGCTATTACATTACTTTTTAACAAGTCACTAGAAACTAGCACTTTCCCGACACTACTCAAGACAGCAAAGGTTACACCAATACATAAAGGTGGTGACCCTACAGATGCAAACAACTATAGGCCAATATCAAACTTACCATTGCTATCCAAAATCTTCGAGAAACTCGTGCACAGGAGACTATGTATATTCATTTATTACGGCACAAAACATACTCAACCCCTGCCAATTTGGATTCAGGAAAAATAAAAGCACTAATGATGCAATTGTACAAATGCTAGATCTGCTTTACACAGCACTGGAAAAGAACTAATATCCACTAGGAATTTTTTCTTGACCTAAGAAAAGCTTTTGACACAGTAGACCACGGCATCCTACTCCACAAACTTGACCATTATGGTATAAGAGGCCATGCGCTTGCACATTTTAAATCCTACCTTACAAATAGGTATCAGTATGTCACCATTAAAGACACAGCCTCATCAACACGGCCACTTGATACCAGAGTTCCGCAGGGAAGTGTCCTTGGTCCCCTGCTTCTCCTCATTTACATCAATGATCTTCCAAACGTATCTCAACACTTGAAACCCATTCTCTTTGCTGATGACACGACTTATGTCATCTCCCACCCTCAACACCATTGTTAACGGGGAGCTGTCAAAATAGCAACTTGGATGACACCAATAATCTTAAAACTTAACTTTTACAAAACCTACTAAAATTAAATTTTTTGGTTTAAGCAGGCAGGTTTGCACAATTTAAAACATTAAGAATGACAACACAAAAAATTTGGGCCAGACATAATGGGGGCAAATTCCTAGGCCATACCCACAAAAATCAAATTTCATACCCAAAATCCAACCAAAAAAAAAGTACCCAAAAAACACTTGAATCCCTCCAAGATACGTTTCAACTTGCCGCAAACCCCTTTTCTCACACTAAAAACCTTTCACTATTTTCCATACCTAAACCTAGCTATTTTGTTTGGGGGAAAAACCCTGCAGCAACACACCTAAACCCAAATTTAAAACCCAAAAAAAATTTTCAGTAAGAAAATCATTTAAATCCCATCCCTGGCAACACCCCCCCCCCCATTATTCATAGTTTCTAAACTTACCCCCCGGGGTTGAAGGCTTTCCACACTTACACGGGGTCAATCTAAATCACGGGCCCAAAAAATTTCCAAAAAAAAACCCTTTGCCCCTAAAAGGGCTTTCTTGATAGTTGTGACAGGACCCACGGGCTAACACCCCCACAAAAAAACTCTATGACATTCCCGGGGCCAACTAAACCTCCCCCAAAAAATTCCCATTATGTCAAAAGGGCCCAAAATCTGGAAACACCCAACGAAAGCTCTAGAACCCGCAGACACATTCATCACCTACAAAATAAAAAAAACCCCTAAAACATCTTATCTCCCCGAAAACAAACCCCCACAAATAACTACATGAAAACCCCCTTTCACACTGTCACTCACCCCCCCGCGAATTCACAAATAAAAAATTTTAATATATAATAATCCTGACTATCATAAATTTTCCTGGGGGAAAAACAAATAGAACCTGTTAATTTTGCCAAAACAAAAACATTTACATTGCTTTAAAATCCAAAACTATAACCTCACTTAGCCTTTAATTCCAGCTTACTCCATAATCTTATTTTAAATTTTGAGTTTTAAAATTAATCTAAGTTTTGCCCGAAAAAGCCTAGCCATGCTAGGTTCCTAGTGACCCCCCCCTGTAATTAATAATTTTTAAAAACATGTAACCACACAAATTCCAAAATCTGTAAACCCCCCCCATTGTATTTTTAAGAAATAAACTTTATTTTACTGATTGTTCAAAAAACTTTCACCTTACCCTCAACAACACTGTTTTAAAAATCATTTTGCAGAGGGCTCAGAAAACAACATTTTTGAAGGGAATATGTATAAAGACAAACAACATATCCCCCCCAAAAAATGGGGCCCAAAACCCAACCCCCCTTTAAAGTATAGCACTGTTTCTTCCCCCTTTCCAGGAACCCCAAGTCTGGGTATATAAAAATTTAAACCGGGTTTTCCCCGAATCCCTTCACTAAATATTACCCTTTTTACACTCCAACACTCGTCAGGCCCAAATTTCCATTTGCTCCCCTTCACCCCCTATCTAAACCTCATGGTGCTTGCTGGGAAATCGAATCCCCCTTTAAGAATTTCCCCGGGAAAAATTAAAATTTTTATTTAAAAATAGTCATCAACTTACTTGATACTAATGCACTGATGAATTCTACAGAACAATTCGAAGATCATGAGTCGGGCATTCTCGATGAAATCATTTTGACATGCAACAAGGAAAAAGTCATTTTCCAAAACTGCAGCACATTGTTGGAGCTTTTTCTGAGCAGCATCAAAATCAAAATCAACATACAAATGGGCAAGGAATTCTGTAATGGGACCCTTTGTATGTGTAGCTCTCCTGCTGAATTACTTTCACAAGATCCTAAAAAAAAAAATAAATAAATAAAATAAATAACACGATAGATATGAAGGTATGATAAAAACAAGGCACTTAATTTGAAATTGAACAGATCACAGCAATTTTTAATTATTATTAAACAACACACACCTTGAGGGAGAGAAAATATTATGAGCTTGAAGACATGGACAAAATGAATTCTAGAGAAAATGTGAATTATATGACAAAGTATTAGAAATGCTCTTTGAAAAGAAATAAAAAAGTAACAACAATTAACTGAACAAGTTCATAAAAAAAAAAGGTTACCAGCAATAAGAACAATATTTAAAATTTAAATGAATTAGCTGTTGAATTATTATTATTATTATTATTATTATTATTATTCTTTCAACAAACTGGCCATATCCTACCGAAGCGGGGTGGCCCAAAAAGAAAATGCAAGTTTCTCCTCTTAAATTTAGTAATATGTACAGGAGAAAGGGCTACTAGGCCCTTACTCCTGGCATTCTAGTCGCCTCTTACAAAGCAATGGCTTACAGAGGAAGAATTCTGTTCCACTTTCCCATGGAGATAAGCAGAAATAAACAAGAACAAGAACTAGTAAGAAAATAGAAGAAAACCCAGAGGGGTATGTATATACGTCACCCTGCTTTGGTGAGAAACGGCCGTGTTAAAAAAAAAAAAAAAAAAAAAAAAAAAAAACTGATTAAAAATGCTTTACAACTAAGGAAGAACTTTAGGTTGCCATTTTTAGATATGAATAAATTGATAAGTCACTTAGCAAACAAGTTTATATAAAGCCTACAGTTTCTAATTAAAAACTAAGTTTTCATCAGACACCTATTCAATTTAATATTCTCATCTCTCTTTTTTTTATTGTTAAACATTGGCTGTTTCCCACCAAGGCAGGGTGACCCGAAAAAGAAGAGACACTCTCATCATCATTCTCTCCATCACTGTCTTGCCAGAGGCATGCTTATACTACAGTTATAAAACTGCAACATCAACACCTGTACTTCCGACCTCCAGGACTCAAGTCTGGCCTGCCAGTTTCCTTAAATCCCTTCGTAAATGTTACCTTGCTCACACTCCAACAGCAAGTCTAAGTCATAAAAACCTTTTGTCTCCACTTGCTCCTATCTATCATGCTCACGCATGCTTGCTGGAAGTCCAAGCCCCTCGTGCACAAAACCTTCTTTACTCCCTCCCTCCAACAATTCCTAGGCCGACCCCTACCCTGCCTTCCTTCCACTACAGGTTTATGCACTCTCCAAACCCCTCAAGGGAGGTTCCTTGATGCTGGTGAAGGGCTCTTGATCTAGGGAACTGGATCTGTGCTCCAGTTCCCTGAATTGAGCCTCAATACCTTCCATAACCCCCCCACATGCACTGTATAATCCTATGGGTTTAGTGCTCCCCCATGATTATAATAATACACTCTCCAAGTCTTTCTACTTTGTTGCAGCTCTCTAAATGTCCAAATCACCTCAACAACCCCTCCTCAGCCCTCTGGATAATACTTTTAATAACCCCGCACCACCACCTAATTTCTACACTACAGATTCTCTGCATTATATTCACAATGCACATTGCCCTCATCTCCACTGCCTCAAGCCTTTTCCTTGTTGTAACATTCACCACCCATGCTTCACACCCATATAAGAGCGTTGGTACAACTATACTCTCATACATTCCCCTCTTTGCTTCCATGGATAACATTCTGTCTCCACAAACTCCTCAAACACCACTCACCTTTTTTCCCTCATCAATTCTATGATTCACCTCGTCTTTCATAGTCCCATCTGCTGACAAGTCCACTCCCAAATATCTGAATACACTTACTTCCTCCATACTCCCTCCCTCCAATCTGATATTCAATTTTTCATTACGTAAATTTTTTATCCTCATCACCTTGCTTTTTCCTATGTTCACTTTTAATTTCCTCCTTTTACGTACCCAACCAAACTCGTCCACAAACCTCTGCAACTTTTCTTCAGAATCTCTCAAAAGCACAGTATCATTAGCAAAGAGCAACTGTGACAAATCACACTTCACAATAAAGCGGAATTTACAGGCTAAGAAATGTTACTTTACCTCTGCCCTAACTAAGGCATGCAACCTATCCTCCCTGTCCCTGGATAAAACCCACAACAGTTGACTAACTATCAGGTACCTACTCATACTTACAGTTGGGTGAACAAGAGATTTGCCCATATTTCTCACACTGCCTCTGAATAAAACCTGGGTCATTTTGGACGAGAGTTGAGTGCTTTACCACTGAACTACAGGTCACCTACCTTTATAGCCAGAACTTCCCATACAGTATATATTCAGATTGTATATACTAGTCTTCAATGTAAATCAATGTTGAAACAAAGTGATTTCAAAGGTAGATTTGTTGATATCTACATTGGAGAACAGTTCAGTAAATTTTTATCACTGCATAAAGAATCTAGTGCTGCTACAGAAGAGGCAACTTTGTACTCAATTTTCCATTTACTGGTAATATACTTAATAATATTAGAACTGTAAATAAGTTAATACCAACTGAAGTTAATCTTACAAGTTTACATTAAGCAGAATAAGTCACTGTATTTTGGAATACAAATTTTTTTCAAGGTTGGTTTGCTGTACAGTAATTATTTATGGAGGGAGGGGGTAAAGGAGGTTGTGTGGGTGAGGGGCTTGGATTTCCAGCAAGCATGCGTGAGCGCATTAGATAGGAGTGAATGGAGACGAATGGTGTTTGGGACCTGATGAAGCGTTGGAGTGTGTGCAGGGATTGTGAAGGGATTCAGAGAAACCAGTTAGCTGGATTTGAGTCCTGGAAATGGGAAGTACAATGCCTGCACTTTAAAGAAGGGGTTTGGGATATTGGCAGTTTGGAGGGACTTCTAAACTGTCGTATCTGAGCGCCTCTGCAAAGACAGAGATTATGTATGAGTGAGGTGAAAGTATTGAATGATGATGAGAGTATTTTATTTTTTGGTTTTCCTTTCTTTTTGGGTCATCCTGCCTTGGTGGGAGATGATCAATTTGTTGAGAGAGAGAAAATACAATATCACCATGGGAAAGTAGAACAGAATTCTTGCTCTGTAAGCCATGCATGTCATAAGAGGTGACTACAATGCCAGGAGCAAGGGGCTAGTAACCCCTTCTCCTGTATAAATTACTAAATTTAAAAAGAGAAACTTTTTCTTTTTAGGTCACCCTGCCTCGGTGGGATATGTATTAAAGAGAACTGCCAAGGGCTTGTTTGGTAGCTACATATAGAGCACCACATATACCAACATACTGTACCGTATTCCAAAAATGTGTAATACAATACAGTAATTTATTTTCAACTAACCTTCATTGCAGCTCTCCTACTGTTTTTGTTAATAACAACAGCAGTTGCCAAATAACGAAGAACATGTGGACACATGGTCTGTAAGGCATTCAGATATGGTTGTTGGTACAAAAACATCTCGATGATTAGCTCTCGACCTGAAAAGTAACAAATTTTATATAGTATATACAAGTGAGTGTAAAACGAAAGTCTGTAATTGTTTTACATGATGGTAGGATTGCTGGTGTCTTTTGTCTGTCTCATAAATATGCAAGATTACAGGTACGTCTTGCTACTTCTACTTACACTTAGGTCACACTACACATACATGTACACGTTTATTTATACACACTCATCTGAGTTTTCTTTGATTTTATCTTAAAAGTTCTTGGTCTTATACTTTTCCTTTTATATCCATGGGGAAGTGGAATAAGAATCTTTCCTCCGTAAGCCATGCGTGTTGTAAAAGTCAACTAAATGCCGGAACAATGGCTAGTAACCCCTTTTCCTGTAAAGATTACTAAAAAGAATAAGAAGAAGAAAATTGTCAAAGTGGAAGTCTGAAAAGTGCGTGGATGTTGTGCAAATGATAAGAAAGAGATGATTGTGGATGTTAGAATGAGAAGAAACTGGATGTCCTGGCTTTTAAATGAAAAAAAGCTGAAGGGGGTGGGAGAGTTT